ATCAAAGAAATGCAAAGGTCTTCAATTCATACTAGTATGTGAGCGACTAAATGTTTAGATATTAGCTGGAGCCTGAGCTTTCCAGCAGATCCTTCTTAAATCAGCATCTCCCCAGACAAAGAGATGAAAATTGCAAGGCAGCAATAGCCAGACTATTGGGTACAACTGACAGAGCTGTAAGTGACCACAGTGAGAGCCAGGGAAGCCTCGGGCCTCTGCTGCAACTGGGAGAAACGATTTTAACTCCCATTTTTCAGTGTCACGCAGGGCGAGGTTGCTCATTTCCCCTTGCATGCAAAAATGCCCACTAGAAATAAATATTGCCTATTTGCATGTACAAATTAAGCACGTATTGAAGTTATACACACACACGGTCATGTCCACAGAGCGGTTTGGGATCCTGTGGGATGCTGAGTGCTCGGCCATTTCCAGCTGATTTCCAGCTGCTGCCTCCAGTGCCAAGCAAGAGCCACAGTCGGCAATGCCTCATTCCCATGGGATGGGAGGGAAAACCTGACTGTGGCTGGGGAAAACTCATTTATTGCTCAACAGCGAGGAACAGGTCAGACCTCCTATAGCGCGCTTCACCTCGAAAGTACTCCGTAACACAACTATTGTAACGTTTTCTAATAAAAACAGAGGTCAGGGCCTGTCTTTTCAAAAGGAATCCGTGAGCTCAGAGCTTGCATTTCCAAAGAGACTTTTTAAGCAGATCAAACTTTCAGAATAAGGAATGATCACCTTTGAGAAACTGAGCTTCTATGCCAGGCACCCCAAGAAAAATTCCAAGTGCAGATCTGAGTGATCAAATACAAGAATTTCACAAGGTTTCGCACAGCAAACTCATTGCCTGGTTTCCAATCCTTTGCAAGATCCAGTACAAACTGACGTAAGAGGCCACGAACAATTAGTTTTCAGTTTTGTAATAATAATAATTAATGTAATAGGACTTTTTCCCCAGCCTGGATTATCCAAGCGCTCACGCCTGCTGTATTTACTCATAGCTACAAAAGCACAGAACGAACAGCGTCGGCTGTCAGGGATGTGCTTTTGCTCACCAGGGACTGCACTTCATGCTTTCTTTAGCGAACACCTACCCAAATGCACAGCAAGCAGCGCAAGTTCCCACGGCGCTGTGAAACGCAGCAGTTTAAAGTGGAACACGGCGTATCCTGCCAATAAAAGGGCGACTTCCTCCCCCTCATTTCTGCTGAGTTTGGCCTATGCCACACACGTAAGCATTTTCAGCTCTACCAGTTATGGTGTACACCACACTACGCATTTATTAATATTATTTAACTTTTTCAATGTTGCTTTTCAAAATGCCAACAGAAGCAAAACACAAAGATACCGTTTGCCATATTTATTATTTTTCTTTTTTAAACTAAGCTCTGAATTATACAAGTGTAAAAGTGATTAATTAGCCCGTAGCTTTTTAATACTCCTATAAAATATGACTAAATAGAGTATTTCAAAAGTATGTACAGTATAATGGAAATGCTAACATCATCGGCCGGTGCTCAGACGTTCCACTGTGATCAAGTCCTGCGAGATGGTCCAGCCCGTCACTCTGCACAAATACTGAACGGGAGGAAAATGGGAGCAAAATAAAACCAGCCCACCCCTCCCACCCAGTTTTGGATCAGATAAATGCTAAGCAATTTATCCATGGGGCACATTTTTCAAATATAAAGCACTTTACAGTAACTGTGTCTGTAGTTACGGTTGAGGAAGAGATGCTCCTGCCATGTTTTCTCGCTGAAAACCGAGTGTACTCAAGTGGGTACGTGCACAGGAGGAAGGGGGCAGCCTGCACTACCTCGTCTTAATTACAAAAATCAAGGCCACAGAAATTCTTTGTTTGGTTCCAAGAGAGCAGATTCCAAAATACCCCTTCTAAAACGCTTTCAAGATTTTAACTGTACTGAGGAAATCATTAAAATTTCGATTTCTTATCTGAAAAGGTCAGACAGGACAAGCCGGCAGCGGGCAACAGAAGCAGCAACTGTACTCCCTCGATTTCCTTCTCTAATTTCCAAGCAGCAGCAGCAGGAGCAAGGTCCACTCAGCAGAGGGCCCCAGGGCATCGCTGCTGCCCGCTCCTGCTCTGGGAAGGAAATTCAAAGGACCTCACCTATGTCACAGTGCATCAAAGCTGTAACGTAACTCCGAGGTTTCATTTGTTTATAACATTACATGAGAGAAGCTTCTTTAGCGCTGCGGACACCCTGGGAAAAGTGCGAGTCAGAGGGACTGAGCTCACAGATGCTACACACAATTCCCAGTGAAGCAAGTGAATCACTGCGTTAAATGGGACAGTGACTCCTCCAGACGGTCAGCGTTTCTGAAAAAAGCCTTTCTTCTGTGCCAGGCCAGAAGCAAAATACCAGGTAGGAGTCACAAATGCTGCTACTTTTGTCATCTGGCCGTTATTCCATAATACCTGAAACACTTTTCTGTGATGACCATATTTTATCACACAGAGGTGATTTATAAGCTTTGGCCATAGTTTCAACAGGCTCCTCTGACTTTTCAGGTTTGTAGTTGTTTCTCTTTCGGTGCTTTAACCAATGAGCCATGCTCTACGTCCTCCATAGTTTTATAAAGATAAAGAGCAGCCACTGAATGGGGCCTGGTTTTAAATCTGAAAGTGCAATTTGAGGAAATAACATTTAAGAGCCAATGCTTTAATTTGCAGTACAGTTTTACATCATTTGAGGCCAAGGTCCCTAGTTCAGAACCGTGTCTTGTTTAATTTAATGCTTAATGACATGGACACAAGGACTAGATTTGGCCTCCAACACTTCTGCACATAAAAAAATTGAGAGTATCAACTTCAACTAGAGATGATCTCTGATCACTTACAGCCGTTGAGGATGTGGCCAGTAATTTCTTCCATACAGCAGATATCAACAAAAAATCTTACAGGTTTAAATCTCACTCTCCCCATTTATACTGGTCTAAACCCCACAGACCGTAGCATTCTGCACGTTCTCAAAAAGGACAGTGCTGTTACTCCTGAAATATCGTAGGTCACCTCTGTGGTGTTTTCAACAGGAAGATGTGCAGTTATATGTTATAGTTAGTTATAAGTTATAGGTTATAGCCCTGGGGCAGTGAGTGACTATTTATTTATTTAAAGAAATTCTGAGTGAATGCATCACTGAAAAAATCCTCAAAGTGAAACCTCTCAGGAGCTACTTTACACAGGTATCATGAGGATAGCAAAGCCCCACTTTTTGTTCAGTCTCTGCTATATTTAATGTGCTCCTATCAGTGTAACACATGCACGACAAGGCCTATAATGCAGTAACAAGTATCACATTATAGATACATGCTACGGAAAGCGCTACATCTCAACAGCAATATCAGGGGGCCGTGGTGGTCAGAGAATGAACTGTATGGGAATGGGAAGTCCTCACTGCCAGAAGGTCCTCACCATGAATGTGGCATCTGCTGTCCTCACCAATGGATCAACACTTTTCCTCCTCAAATTATGGCAGAGCCAAAATCCCAGCAAAGGGACTCGACTCTGCTCAATGCTAATTCAGGGTGAAAGGAGCCCTCCCTCAGAAAGCAGATCATTCGGTTTTATGACAAAGAAAAATCTTGATTACAGCATCTCAGCTGGCTTTTCAGATCCTAGACTGAGCTTCCAAGATGTGTTTACTTATTTGAACTCGTAACGGATTTGAAACGACGTAATCTCACTGTGTCACTTTTGGGAGTACAGCTGCAGCTAATCAGCTTCAAAAATCCCACCGCATCGTACACATATGCTCGGTTTTCTGCAGTATTAATTTCAGTGGAACTACTCGTGTGCATAAATTAAGCGCATGCTTAAATATATGCAAAATCTGAGCTCAAATATCTAGAAAATATGTTCTCAAAATGACAAGTACGCATAAAAAAAACTCATCATGGCAGGCCTGGCAGACAGGGAATCCAGTATCTGCCTGCTGTCGGCCACCACGGAAACACAGAACGATTTTTGTAACCCAGTATACATTGCAAGTGAAAGAAACATGCAGGACAGAGTGAAAAAAGGGGATTCGGTTGCATGCAGTCTAATTTCAAGTGTGTAATTATGGTCCTGTTTTCTTTGGCCTAAAAAAAAGAAAGAAAAAAAAAAACCCAACAAAAGAACACCAACCAACCTCTCCTCACCTCCACAAACCCAAACTGCATACAGCTCAAAAAGGGCTTTAAAGCGCAGGAAGTGGGGAGGGAAAAGGTCTGAATACTGGAGATGTAGAAGTAATCACTAACAGTTTCAGGGCTATTCAACACACCACTACGAAAGCGTTCAGCCTGCATCATTACTAGAACTTACAGCTATGACAGAGAGCAATGAATCCTACCTTAAACAAGCAGTTATCTTCTCTTTCCTCCTCAAACCCAGAGAGAAATACCACTCACACCCTTATGGAAGATAAAATGACAATTCCTGGTGATATTCTGGTTCCCTCCTTAGAGAGAAGGATCGAAAGCCACCAGAACCCCCAGCAAGCTGCTGCCTCTCCCCTCAGCCCAGAGAGCGCGGTCTCACTCCTGCCACCAGTAAGGACCAGTGCACTCCAAAGCTGTTGGTGGGAGAAGGCGTTTTCCTGCTGTTTCTAAAGATCTTGCAGATAATATTCCTTACAGAAAATTCCAGGGGGGTGAAAAGGCCACCAAGCTGCTAGTAGATTATAAACAACACACACTCCCCCTTAGAAATAACAATACATGGAGAAGACTAAAGTCTGCTGGGGAACCGAGGAGGGCAGAGGAGCACTTGATGAAGGGCACTAGCACATGTTCTGGGAGTCCGAACATCAAGCCTGATATCGGCCTAATTGCCCACCCTGAACAATCTCTCTGTTAATGGTGTTTCAGCATGCAAACCACAGCTGTGAAAAAATCCTCAGACTGAAACCCTCCCTTGTTCCTTCAGCCTGGTTTTGTCCTTTCCTGAAAAATCTGTTAGTTGGTGTGTGATATGGTTACATTTACAATTTCCTAGCCCTTTAATTACATAGGCTTGATTACTGTGAAGGGATTTCAATGAGTTGAATGTCCTGGTACTCAGAAGGCAATGGCTGCCTTTCAACGAAACGAAGCAAACAAAACCCAAGAGCTGTGCTGGAGGAGAGAAGTGCCGCTTCTGCCGGAGAGGCTCAGTTAGATACAGGCGGTGGCAGACCAGGGCGCCGGGTTTGAATGATTTTTGGCTTTGGAGAATTCTTTGGGTCCTCATCTTCTTCCATGTCGCTGTCGCAGACGTGCACTACCACACTGGGAGTGGACTCTGTTCCTGCGTGCAGCTCGTACTTCTCTCCTGGAAGCAGAAATAAATCGTTAGACCAAAGGATCACGGTCTGAGTAGCGGCTCAGACCATGGCACTTTTGGATTGCAGAATATTCCTGTGTCTGGATAGGGCAGCTGAGCGTGTGCTGCTCCCAGGTGCAGGTGAGGGCAAGCATGGCTCAACTGTATCAGCTGTCACAGCAGATTTTGGGGATCCTGTCTCCAGGGCAGGGATCACTGGTCTGTAAAGCAGAATGAAACACATTGGGGTCTATAATAATGTTGTGCACCAGTATTAGTGCCAGCAGCGCTAAAATAACAAGGAAACAAAAAAAGAGTATGAAGAGGAGAGGCAACATAGAAGTTCATGGTTAGGAAGGGGGAGTGGAATCCAACCCATCAAACGTTTGGTCTGAAGTCATGTCACACCTCTTGGCCTGGGTCTATTCTTTTGGTTTTCAGTCTAGCCTGGCTCCAGCACCATTTAAAATCCACTCCATTCTGCAACTCCAGACAGACATCACCACTTGGTCCAATTGCTCCAGAACTCAAAAAATACACCTGGCTGCTCCAGACAGATTTTGATATTCAAAGCTCTTTAGCTCTGTAACAAATTCTGCCTCTACCGATGAATTACCATCTATTAATGCTCATTGGCAGTCTAAACACTTAAACAGGACATTAGATTTTCTAACTCTGAACATTCCTTATTCAAGCCTCCACCCAGCACTCCTGTGAGGAAGAGGAATATGGGTTAGGTGATCACCTGCAAGAGTCCACAGGCAAACCAAGGAAAACCAGGATCAGACACAGGACTTTCAGACCTGCATTCAGGCTGCCAGCACTACACGTGTTTTGGGTTGGACACTGGATGTAAGCATTGATTATTAAATTGCAAGGCATTAATTTAAGACTGTGAAGAAATAAATGCTTTAACAGTGACATTTCTGACAGGATGAACTGGTCTTTCAGAAGTGACAAGCACCCGTTCGCAGCACTAGAAACCATTCCAGATAATGCACTGCCTCCCCATTTGGACTATTTGTCACCGCTCCCATCTCCAAGACCCACAAGCCGCAGCTAAATGAAAACAAGCTTACACTGACCACATGCACACCTGATAGCTTGGATTTACTTCTTTTTCTACAAGACTGCTCTATTTTGCATATTGCCTGCAAAATATTCTGAGATGAGGAAGGCGAGGTCCCTGTATGCGTCGCTGAGCTGTGTTTGTGGCACAGCTCCATCTCAGGCAGTGCTGGGTGGCGTAGGATGAAGGTGAAGTAGCAGTCCTTACCTCACAGCACTTGTTTGTTCGTGTGACTAATTCCGATTTTTATTTATTAGCAACTCTGTGGCAGAGCAGTTCCCGTGAGGAAGGGACTGCAGGTTTGGCCCCGCATTAGCACTCGCAGTGCTGGGACTGACATCATCTGCTATTTATGCTGACAAATTCTTGGTCCAAATACAACTGGGTGGCTGGGGACTAGAGGACATGCTGCATTTTTGCCTAAAAAATAGGAGTCAACCAGTGAATAATAGCTGTAAGTCAGGCAACTCGCTGTGAGAAATATTTTACTGCTGTGATACCATTAATGTTGACATTTAACTGCTCTATTTTTGGCAGCCTTCCCTCTGAATCCAAATCGAGCAAAGCCCGACAGGTCTTGCTGATAGGCTAAAATATATAAAAAGAGAAATCGCTCGGTTGTGCCGCGTTGAGAAATTCTATGGCTTTTCTTTGCCTATTTTCCCCGGGGGCTTCAGCTAATTTCTCAGCTCTGGGCTGACGTCAATGCCGCCAAGCAGCACCGAGGGCCGCATTGGTCACTGTCAGCCGCTCTGCAGCGCCGGGCCCTTTTCTCGCACACCAGCGCCGCCGAGTAAATCAGATTCACCGCCCTCTTAAAAGGTAATAATCCCAGTTCAAATGCCACGTTCTTTTACTGCTCAGACCTTTCCCAGAAGGACTCTGAACACCGGAAATAAGTACAGACGCAAGGAAGAATACTCGGCTGCCTCTGGCACAAGTAACGGCAACGGCATTTAATGTCACTTTGCAAATCAAAATGTGATGCGCTCATAAATTAGGTTTTTAATGCATACAGTTATTTCTGAGCAGAAATGAGCTGCAGACTCGGTTCTGAACTCACAATTATTCATGCCTGTGGCTCAAACTGCAGAAAAACCTTTTTATGGCTGAGCTAGGAACAGGACAACGGTAAACACGGGATTTTTATACAGCTGTATCTTGTTCCAAAATGTAACCGTTGTCTGCAGAAAAATACTACGGTAATAAGTACAAAATAAAAAATCCAGTAGAGCTTGACTACCCCTTCCTTTCTGCTTTTTTACTATGTTATTTTTCCTTTCCTTTTAACACCACCTCCATAAATAAAAATAAAAATTGAGCTGAATCCGCAGCACTTAAGCTACTGGAGTAATGGCTGAATCACTGCAGTTACTTAACTAACTTACTTACTTAAGTCATTACTTACTAATTACACTGCTTACAAGGTACAGCTTGTCCAAGCTACGGGTAGCAAGTTGAGTTGGTGCAGTTAGGACTCCCCAGCCTCTGCAGTTAATACCACTCAAGCATTGGTCCAGTTTTCTCTCTCGGCCGTCTCTGATGCTGCCTCCTTTGCCTTCTCAGGCCCTGCATCGCCCCACAGCCCCCCTGCTTCTCTCCCTGAACCAAGAACCAAGCTGTCGCACCTCCACCACACAGATTTGTCTGAAAATGTTCCTAACAGACCCCTGAAAATAGCAGTGCTGTTCCTCCATTCATTTGCTTCGCCTAAGAAAAAAATAGGAAATGGAAGTTTCACCGTTCAGCGATGGGCTCAGCTGCTTTTGTGTCACTTGGCACTGCCTTTTGTGACCATGTTAACCTCAGGTAAACACACAGCCTCAGGTGATGACCACAACAGCCCAAAATCAACTTACAATATTTCAGCATTAAAATCAATGCCATGTGATTTTACGCATCAGCGCTAGGACCTGTCCTTGATGCTGCATCTCTTGTCTAACGAGGCTCTCTTGTCCAGCAAAGAATATGCTCGTACACTCAGGTGATAATGAAGAAATGGCAATGATGCTGCGCAGCCACCTCATCCTCATCCCTGGTTCTGACTCATGATCAAAGGTTAACGGGTTCAGAGATGGCCATTCCACGTTAAATGTGTCACTAAAAGGTAAAAATCCCTTCCACTTACATTCTCTTCATCCAAGTGCTTTACAAATAATATGGTGCAAATAATAAGTGGTCCTTTGTCTAAGTGCATGTTTATCTATTGCTTATCTGCCTGTCCCTCCACCCCCTTTTTAATCCTCTCTGGAAGTCACCTGAAGTATTTACTGCTTCCTTTGAATCAGCGAGAACAAACATGAGAGTCTGAAAATACCTGGGCATAAAAAACATGCGGTGCAAGACAAGGTTTGCAATCCCTGTGTGCAGCACTTACTGGGCAGGGCCCTGCTCTGCCCTGTTTTCCCCTTCCCTGTGCAAGGGGGAGCCAAACCCAGGGAGGAACAGGGGCAAGAGCTACGCATCCTCCTCAAGAAGCCCAGCCAGAGCATGGCGGGAACAGCTACATCCCAATTGCTCAGAGCCAAAAATGCAACCCTCACCCAAGCCCTCCTTGGACCACTCATCATCCGCAGACCCAGCAGCCAAGTGGCACAGACTGGTGCAGGTCGCCTCTGTGTCCCAAGAGGAAACGCTGTTGACTTGAGAGCCGTGTAACAATTCAGAATGGTGCTTTCACAATGTGAAAAATGTATTTTACATGACCTGGAGCGTAGCCTGAGGGCATTTAAGGAGGTGCAAAGCCTACTGGAATGCTGATGAGGGATGGGAAACGTGAATCAAGGCCTTGAGAGAAAGGCAACTTTGGCAACCGCTCTATGGGCAGCAGGCAGGGGTTGAGATTGGGAAGGGGAGGTTGGGGTGGTTCCTGGGATGCTGGGGAAAGGGACTTTGAAGTGCAGAGTTAGAAAGTGAGGGAGTACAGGGCAGTCTGCTGAGAAGAATTATCCTTGTTACTGATAGAGGCTGGGAGATGATGTGCTGGAAAGCAGCCCTGAGGAACAGGACTTGAGAGCACCGGTGGATGAGAAGCTGGACGTGAGCTACCAATGTGCACCTGCAGCCCAGAAACCAACGGCATCCTGGGCTGCATCACAAGAAATGTAGCCAGCAGGGCCAGGGAGGGGATTCTGCCCCTCTGCTCTGCTCTGGTGAGACCTCACCTGGATACTGCATCCAGCTTTGGAGTCTCCAGCACAAAAAGGACACTGAAGTGCTGGAGCTGGTCCAGAGGAGGCCACAAAGATGATCCAAGGGCTGGAGCAGCTCTCCTAAGAAGACAGCTGAGAGAGTTGGGGTTGTTCTGCCTAGAAAAGAGAAGGCTCCAAGGAGACCTTATAGCAACCTTCTAATACCTGAAAGGTACCTATAAGAAATCTGGGGAAGAGCTGTTCACTGGGGCATGGAGCGATAGGACGAGGGGTAATGGTTTTAAACTAGAAAAGGGGAGATTTAGGTTGGATATCAGGAAAAAGTTCATCACTATGAGGGTGGTAGATCATGGCACAGGTTGCCCAGAGAGGTGGTGGAGGCCCCATCCCTGGAGATATTCAAGGCCATGCTTGATGGGGCTGTGAGCAACCTGATCTGGTACCAATGTCCCTGCTCACTGCAGGGGTTGGACTGGATGAGCTTTAAAGGTCCCTTCCAGCCCAACACATCCTGTGATTCTATGTTTCTAAGAAATTGGAGTGACGGGTTTGAAAGAGGCAATGGAGAAGGAGGGAAGCAATAGGCAGGCTTTGGGGTGGATAGGGAAAGGGCAGGACTGCTTTCCAGAAAAGAAAGGGCTTATTCTGGTGCCATTCGGATGGTGTGTACAATGGCAGAGTAAATGTTGCTGCCTTTTCTGTGAGAGGAGCAGCTCTGCTGTTCTGTCCATAGCCTGGACCTGGAGATTCCCCCAGCCCTTACAAACATTTCTCCTATAAATTTATTTCCTGTGTTCCTCAGTGGGATGAAACTATGACTTTATAAAATGTTATGGAAAAGACATGAGGGCCTAGACCAGACAACAGCTTGGTCAGTTGCAAGCGTATGAGTAGGAAAGAGTTGGGTTCAAGTCAGGCCACCCTGGTGCAGTGCAACGCCTCTGTATCTCCATGAGTATTTTAAACCACTGGAAGTTGTCTTGGCAGCAGAAGCGTTTTTCATCAAGGAGATTAATGAGCACACTTCTTTATTTGCAATATATTGAAAAAATGGCAGGCTGGTGGTCAGGACCAAGCGCAGCCACAGCTGCTGGCTCTGACTGCTCCGTGGCGTTCTGTTCACGCCTCATTTAAAGCTCAATTTCTGCGTCTGCGGAAAGTGAGAATGCACATCAATCAACCAGAAATCTAATTAAATATGCCATGGGCTTCCCTAAGAAGTAAATGCACCCTCACCGATCTCAATTTAACGTCGAAGGACCAAAAGGCAGCTTCCTTTTGTGTACAGCAAAAAAGTCTTTCCCTTAGACCTCTGAGATGCCAGAAGTCACTGCTGCAGCCACGAGGACGCATACAAAATTAGTACCTGTCCCAAAACCGAGCTTGGAAAAAGACAGCACATGGCAATTCTGTCAACTAACTTCTGGCCTATTCATATTATTTTGGAGCGAATCTCCCAGCCTTTGCACCCAGGCTCAGTTTTAGTCTCTAGTTTTGTGGCGATGATGGTTCTGGCAGCGTGCTGTGAAATGGGAGAGTGGCGTGGGTCCATGTCCAAGCTGTGTACCTGTCTCACATTGCCACTGAAATGAGTCAGTAAAACTGAGGATACACAAAGAAACTGTTCACAATTTACACACTCAAACGAGCTGGACCTCAGATATTCATCTGACCAAATCAATGTATTTAATACAGCAGAGATTCCTCACAAGTTCAGGACGGGGAAGTCAGGCTCAGAGTTGTGTAAACACTTGTGCCAGTGAGGACTTTTTGATGGCTGCTAAGCCATAGTTCCTTTTTTATGGCGTTTTTTTGTTTGAATTTTAAAAAAATCTATCTGAGCTGAGGCTAAGAGTGTTATTTGATGTATCACAGCATGTTTTACTGATGTGATACTGACAAATGAGTTTTGGTGGGATTTGTTCTTCAATGAAATTCTAAACATAGTAAATGCACAACCGAGAGCTGCAACGCTATTTTCAAAGCGCCACTGCAGTTAAACTAAAATTGATCTCTCTAACGAGTGCTAAAAATAGAAAGAAGAGAGCACTGAATGACTTTTCATATTGCTCCCTGCAGGCTCCTTAAATACGGGTGAATATGACCTTCACGCAAAGCTGTCCTGCAGTGTGGGGCAATGAGTGATATTTCACATTCCACTGCTCTAGAGCAGCCATTGATTTATTACCCAGCTGGCCAGGGAATTCGTTTCCATGTTTCCATTTATAACAGTGCTGCTTCAAAGGGGAAAAAAAAAAAGGAGCTTTTTTTGGTTTTCTTGTATTCAGCAGTTTAGAAGCAAAGCACCAATTCTGGAAACAATAGTATGCAATAGAGTACGGAGCATTACACCTGACAGCCCTTTTCTATGGGCTTTCCGCTATTTTGCTGATGTATATTTTGCCCCTCTGTGAGAGATCCCTGGTGAAAAAGATAGGAGATCACAGAATCACAGAATCACAGAACGTTAGGGATTGGAAGGGACCTCAAAAGATCATCTAGTCCAATCCCCTAGGAGATGATCCTGCGAATGCTGTGCATCACGACACGTCTCTTCCTGCACCCCACGCACCTCAGCTCTGGGTGCAGTTACACAAAAGCCCCAGTGATGGGGATGTCTGCAACTGGAAACCAGTCTCAGACCAGGAAAGTGGCATCTTCAGTACAGCTGAGGAGAAAACGATTCTCTCATCCCACAGGAATTTCAAAAATAACCTCTGATAAATGCTCATGAGCTCACTCCCCTCAGTTGTTATTAGATTGGCTATGAAGTGTTTTATTTCAGTATGAAAATAATTTAACAAGCTATTTCTTCATATCGTGTACGAATGTAAATGAGATTTAATTTCTAAACGATACTGCTTAGACCTGAAACTGGCACCTTCTCCATTTTGACAATTTTAAAAGAGGATGCTTTAACGGCTTTGAAAGAAAATGATTTGTAAAGATGATTTAATAAAATCAATAGCAATTCTCTCCTCTGAAAAGTTTTGGCTTCATCAGATGAGCATTTTCTAAGGGAAAGCACTGTTTTGAAAATCCCAGCTAGCTTTAGTTCCTGGAATTAGCTGAAGATGGGAAGACAGAAGAAAGTCCATCCGCATTATCCATGGATATCCATCCTGTTTTGATAGAGGCTACAACATCTTCACAGTTTTCAACAGAAAATGGGCAGGGATCGGGGAACGGCTGTTCTATCGACAAACTTGTTAACATGAGAGATTTTCCACTCTGGTGGAGACGCAGCGATGCCGAAATATCAGACAAGGTATTCTGCATCTTGGAAAGCAGTGCTGGGCAGAAGTGATTTAAAGCAAAACCTCCTCAAGTCCATGGACAGGCATCTGTCCAGTCCTCACACAAACCATCGGTTGTCTCATCTAAGCACAAACCCAAGCACAATAAATCGCTTACCCAAGCTCAGATCCGCTCTTCAATCACACAGCACTCGCAAGCTGCAGACATAATTCTGCAGGTACATATGGTAAAACTCATCCTTAAGCAAAGGACCAGTTGACACGCATCAACCTAAATCCAAAGATTTAATGCACCTTACAGCCTTTATGCCAACTTCCTCTACAGTTATTAGCTACGCTGCTATTTCTCATTTGCTTTTTCTGACGCATTTTTTTATACAAGGACCACAAACTTACCTGGTCCTAGCTTAGAAACTGCATAAAGGAGGTCGTAGTTGATGACAGGCGTTGCATCATCTATTGGCTGCCACCCTACAGGTGGGGAGGCTGGAGGCGAGATGAGAAACTGTTTTGCAGGCTGTGGCGGTGCCAAATGCAGCTTGTCTCCATCTGTCTCGGAGGTCTGGATCTTTAAAGCATAACAAAGACACTGTTTAGCATGGGATGGGCAAATGGGATGATTACTCGAATCGCACAGGCAGGGTTTCAGCATCAGTCTCAGCAGAGAAGGCCTGCAGATGGATTTCATCTCAACCTTACAGATGGCTCCTCTACAGTAAATACACTGCAGGAGGCTGTTATACGAGCAAAGCGACAAGGTTTGTGACTACTGTATATGTTCTCTGAGGATAAATGCAAAGCTCTGGTATCCACAGCTGCTCGTTTGGGTATTTCTGAGGCTGAAAAGATACTGTAGTGATCTACTGGCCTAAACTCCTAAATAAAGACAGACATTAGACAAGAAACCAGTAACTCCTGCTTCAAGGCCTTATCAATACTTCAGAAAGATTTCTGAAGATTTGACTTTTTTAGCTGAAGTGATAAAGGAATCTACCATCTCCCCAATCATTTGTAACGAATTGTTCTCGTTTTATTTCCATCCTGAGTTACCTAGTTTAATTCCTGCTTTTCTCTGGTACATTAAAGAAGCCTCAACATAAATGAGTTATTCTGCAGCCATACCTGAGCAAGTCGACAAACACCTGGGGCCCAGAAGAATAAATCACATTTATAAATGACATTTGTATGACAGCAAGCCTGACACAGCACCCTGCTATACTGGAATGGATTTTGCAGAGCCAGTTTCGGTCTTGCAAGCCCATGTTCCCCAAAACTTCTGGTTCTGAAAGTGCTTATTCAGTCTGGCTCAGACCCATATAAACCTACACTGCTCCAGACACTGCTCCGCTTCCAAATCCTCACTCCTCGGACACCACTAATGAGCTCTTTTAAGGCTGGAGAGCATAGAGTAGCAACCTAAATGGCTTTGAAGGAAATCAGCTTAAGCATGGAAACTAATCACTATTATGCACATTTTTCTTTTTCTTGTGTTATCCTAAGTTTTCAATTAACCTCTTGATTGTGCACTCAGCATGAAATGATTCTCAGATCTGCTTAACAGCAGGTTTTGAAACCTTTCAGAAAAAAGGTCAGAGCCAGATCTAGGAGATTAAGACACAGACAACGGAATTGGGGCAGATTTTCAACACCTAAATCCAACCGTAAGTTCTTCTGAACTCATCTAACCCATTATGCATATTTTTATTTCATAACTGTAGTTTCCCATCCTTCTGAGGCTCTGCTTCTCCCTAGGCTCAAACCAGCCTTTATTCTGACCAGGCTGTAGAGGCTCAAAATTTAACTGCCTCTAAGATTTGACAGATACCTCCCTCCCCTTCCTCTATCCTGGCTGGGCCTAGCACTCACCCAGGCTGGGGGGGATCTGGGTTGTCTCTTTCTTGGCCAAGAAGAACTGAACCCGTCTGACGCTTCAACAGATGGATAACATCATCTACGTTCCCAGGCTGGGGGTGTTGTTCTGCCCCTACCATCTTCCTTTTACTCGAACATAATAAATTCCTTTTAGAAAATTCATACATGTATTCAGTAAGGAAAAAAAGGCAGGAGGAAGCCTGACTGTGGCTCCAGGTTGCAGTCAAATAAGTAATTCAGACCTACCGTCTTAATGAACGTATGACACTTCACATAACTGCTAGTTTTATGGTTAGTTTAGAGAGTTACCCAGAGAAAACACCCAGTGTTATAAATCAGTTTTAAGCTATGTAATTTCTGTGTGCTGAATAAACAACTCGGGTCCTGAGTGGTCCTTTAAATTTCCTGCAGACCCCTGGGCAGGTAAAGCTTGGCAACAAAAGAACGTTTGAGCACTCTTTTAGCAGAGAGATTTGTCACGGGAGAAACCTTTATTACTTTTATTCAGTGTTACTGCGCAGTATTTCTATAAAAGCTACGCACTAACATAGAAGTAAATGCCAGATTTCATTACCTGTGCAAAATACAACTTTAACTTCTTCCCTCTGAACTGTGTTTCATGCAGCTCTATCCTGGCACGAGCAGCGGATTTGGGACTACTGAAGTTTATCCGCACGCGCCTGAAGCTTTTAAAGAGCTGGAACGTCACGCAGTCATCGTAGGCACGGAACAAGCCTTCAAACTTCTCCTGCAAATGAAAAAGAAATAATGCTGGAGATTAACTCTGATTAACCCAGCAGCTACTGAATTTCTCAGAGAAGTTACGCAAACTTGTGACAACGATTTACAAAACAAAGCTGCCAAGGGCACATGACTGAAAACACCAGACAACGGTGGTTTCATCTGCACAAAAGCAACCATTGTGCTGAACGACAACGGAGTCAGCAAAGTCAGGCCCACCCTAACTGAGGGTTGCATTCACATCAACACTGCAGCGTCATTTTGTATCGCGTGTTGTGTTTCTCTGGCTGTTTTGTCATTTAAATACTTCAGGTGGATATACACTGACGCCTTGAGCGTTCCTGTAGCAGCAGAGAAAGAAGTTAGAAAACTGAAAACAGTGACCTCTGCCAAAGACAAATGTCAGGCTGAAAAACGTGTGGCTGCAGAACTCCATGTTCAGAGGGACACGACACAAATACAGACATTTTAACACTGTAGAAGAAGGATCTGAAATGCAGCACAGCTGTGGACCTAGAAATCACCAGAAATTCAAGGTGTCAGCAGCCCTGGAGGCTCCGGCTCTCTCTGCAGTTTCTCTGTAAGCCATGTGTGCACACAGAGGACTTTGCCACACCATTTCATACACTGAGGGCTATTATGTCAGGTGATGTATAATAATATGTCAGGTTACTGCATAATTACAATAACCTGTCGTTTCCTTTCGAGTAAGCATGTTTTTATGTATTTTAAATACAACTTCTCTTCTCAACTGGGAAAACAATTTCTGATCCCTCAGAGTGGATAACTGGTAGAGGCTGCAGGAGCACAAACAGAACATGCAGTTAATGTAATCTCATCAATCCTTCAGTTCTCATCTGTTGATCTTTCAAGCACGACAAAGAAGCCCAAACTTAGAAAAACGCATCCTGAAGCACTGGGGAGCACTGACAGCGCTGTGGAAGTGCCTGCTATCAGCACGATGTGTTTGTCAAAGGGTTAACCAGGAAAACAGAGGAGTTTTGTGGCAAGGAGGATGAAACACGACCGCGCATGTACCAGAGCTCCTTTCATTCCCTGCCAACTCTGTGGTCTCCTTCCCCATAACCGATAGCCCATCTCTGGCAGCCTCTCAAAGGAACCTCCCTGCGGTCTGTTAAGCTTTCGTGATTTTCATTTCATTTCGCCTGACCTCACTCACCTCTTCCTCCCACCGCAGGAGACACTTCGGAGGAAACAGAAAAAGAAAATGAAAAGAGAGGAGAGAGCTCCGTGGTTTGGTTGAGGGCGAATAAAGACAAGCAGCAATGCCACAGACAGCGTGAAGTCGATAGGTTTATACAAGCGGGTCTGGTCATACCCCCTAATGTTCAAATTGTCAGCGTTTCACACCTCAGTTATGTCTTTTAACTGCTTCGCTTACTTTTTTGCAAAATTTCATTTTCCTGAGCAGAAGTCTCCATCCAGTGACACTTGTGTAAAGGTCAGCCAAAAGCTGCACTCGTCTCAGTCCTCTCCTGCCGGGAATTTTGATGCCCCAACCTTCCCAGTGACCAGGGAAGGGAAAGAAACAGGGGACCAGCATACATGTGGAACAGAAACATGCAGTGCTGTGCATAACCTAAATAAAAGATAATGGTGACTAATTAAAGCTTATGTCTAATATCACCTGTTTCTGACTTCTTCAGTACTTTCTTGAAGGAAACAAACTTAAATACATATATACGAGATATCAAGGTATTTATATTTTATATCTATATATATATATATGGGGGATGAGATATCAAGGATTTATATTTTTTATATATACAAACACACATACATACATATATATATATATATATATATATGAGATGATCAAGGTATTATAACAGAAGTCACATGATTAAAAACTAAGCAGTAAGGTGAACGTTTCCTTGCCCCCTGTAGCAACTCTCAGTTTCCCCACAACTCAACAATAAAATAATTCATTGTGTAACAAAATCTTCGACCAACCGTGGATGAAACCATGCATGGACCTGTCTGGACACTAAGAAGTATCTATTATTATTTAAGAGTCTCCTATTATCCTATTTATTAGGATATTATCCTAATTATCCTATTTATTTATTAGAAAATTATCCTATTTATTAGGAAACAGATTCTCTGTTCTGAATGGACACAGCAGACTTTCCTGCACTGGCCAGCCCTGCGTGCCTGCCCTCTTCGTGCACCACATACACAACAACCCAAAACCCTGATCTTGCTTTGGGACATAACGCAAAGGAAGGGAGGACGTGATTTCAGACGCGGGTCCAAGAACAGCGAGCGCAGGGAACGTTCTGGGCACATTTCTGGACAATACTGAGTCACTCATTAGGCACCGAAAGGGACAGATGGGAGCATCTCTAAATAAAGCTGATTAAGTACTGGACGCCAAGTGCAATACTGGGAGAACATTAAAGCGCTAGGGACTTTATTCTGCTTACTTTTCAATTTGATACGGGTGCAGCTTTAGGGATTCAGCTTTGATTAACACTCCTAAAAATGCTGGGGGCGGGAGAAGTGAAATCAAGCCCTTTATTTAATATTAATACAGGGTAGGATATCCACCGTGGGGACGCATCTACTGCACCGACTGAAACTGCATCTGCCATTAAAAAGTTTCATACCTCTGAATTTTCCTCCATTTTCAGCTGATTATAATAACGACCTCAGCAGAGGGCATTAATCATCAACTGCAGCTAGCGGCCCTCAGCTGCACTTTGAGCCATCCCAACTCCTCCCAGCTTGATATTAATTCCCAGGAAACGCCTTACGCCTTAATTGCTATTGCCTGTGACTTCTAATATCTGCTGAATGGACTGATCTGGATAAAAGTCTTTCAGAGTCATTCCAATCTATAAGAAAATGTATCATATACATTTTAAAGACCTAAGCAAATTCTCTCCCTTTCAAGTTTTGTGGATAAATTATTCAAGACAACTAATCCCCTCAATTCTGGACTTTAAAAGCGCTTTTAGGATTCGGTATTTTTAAAATGCTTTTAGAAAATAAGGCTTTAAACACACTGAATACTTTGGAAACTCCTGAATAAAAAAATAAAGACGTGTCCAAAGTTAAGCAGCAGAGTTGCTACTCTTAAAAAGTCAAAATGCAGAATGCCCTGAGTTATACATTTATTTCTGGGATTTTGGCATGGCTTTATCCATCCCAACTATGTCTCCGTGAGAGATTAATGCTCAGGCAAATGTGAGCAGCCTTCATTTGACCAATACTGCAGAAATTCTCACTCTTCCTCCTGGTCTCTGTGCCCTCTCTTCATTTCGCTGTTCCTTTACCCAACACTGGGCATTTTTGCCCAGTTCTTTCCTAACGTCAGCTCCCATTTCCACCTCTACCCGTTTCTAGAGTTGGGTTTATTTTTACATTAACAAAATTAGCACAACGTAGGAACAGAGGACAAACAGAGCACCATCCCATGAGGAAAGGAGCATCAAAGCAGCAGACAGAAGGTAAAAGCCTCGGTGCACAAGGGCAAAGCTATGCATTCCTCGGCTGAAAACTATTTCTGCTGCTAAATGGGAGCTCACCTGGGAACAAAGATCCTTTAAGTCATGCGATAAAAGCGATCAGTGAAATGCAGCCATAAGGAGGCAAATAAAATACTGGATGTATCTGGAAAAGTATTTCCATTAAAGGAAAGGTATTAACAACGTTATACAGAGCACTATCACAGCTCATTAAAAATAGAGGTTTTCTTGCCTGTACCCCACATAGATTAGGCCACAGAATCACAGAATATCAGGAGTTGGAAGGGACCTCGAAAGCTCATCCAGTCCAACCCCTGCCAGAGCAGGATCACCCAGACCAGGTCACACAGGAACACATCCAGGCGGGTTTTGAATGTCTCCGGAGAAGGAGACTCCACAACCTCTCTGGGCAGCCTGGGCCAGTGCTCTGTAACCCTCACAGTAAAAAAGTTTTTCCTCATGTTCAGACTGAACCTCCTATGCTCCAGCTTGTTCCCATTGCCCCTTGTCCTGGCATTGGCTGTCACAGAGCAGAGCCTGGCTCCTTCCTCCTGACACTCGCCCTTTACAAATTTATAAACATGAATGAGGTCACCCCTCAGTCTCCTCTTCTCCAAGCTAAAGAGACCCAGCTCCCTCAGCCGCTCCTCATAAGGGAGATGCTCCACTCCCTCCATCATCTTTGTAGCCCTACGCTGGACTCTCTCCAGCAGTTCCC